GCGATCCACAGCACTAAGTTGGTGTATTTCCTCAGTGACCAGCACGGATCAGCTCTAGGCATGACGAAGCGGATATCGTCCTCTTTTGGAAGACCAAACAAACTAGTTTCGCTTTCACAACGAAACACAGCGTCTTCAGGACATGGCGGCATCGGCAACAATACTACAGTGAGAATAAAAGTTACGCCTTCTTTCTTTGCGTGAACATTTGGGCGGCGTTATGCAAATCTTCCCACATAGTGAGGTAGTTATGTGGGGGCGTGTTCGAACGAGCCGTATTAGGTAGGTGTGGCTGACTCTTAAATTTTAAAAAGAATATCTCTTTGGATTTGAGACTTTAGTCTTTGCAAATTTACAGATCTTCTTTATGCACCAAGAGCTTGTAACACTCCAAAGAGAAAGGAAAGAATGAAATCGCATCATATGACCCCTTTAAATAGAATTTGAATACTGGGAAGGAGTGATGTTTTTATAACTATCAAATCATAGTATTTTTCACTTTAGTTGCGTGTTTCTCGAACCTGCTGCTGATGGCCTACATTTTAGGTGTTTCACTAACCTGATGCACCCTCACAATGTCTCCAGGTCATGGAGCTCTGTACTAATGAGCTGGTGAGTTGAATCAGACACCCAAAATGTGCTGAAGTGAACAGGATTGAGAAACACTAGTTAAGTGGCAAATTTGCTGATTTCATTTCAGTATTATCTACAACTTGTTACACACATTTCCAGTATTTCAATCTGATTGGACAACCAGCGTCCCAAGAGTGGTGATATTTAACCTATCATCTTCTTCTAGTTTAGCAGAGGTGAGATTCAGATGTGAAGCAGAAACAAGGCCGTGACTTTATTTTTGTAGTTTGTGTAACAAAATCCTGATGTCAGCAATGCTCCAATTCCCATGTGTGAACAGAGAAGAGATCAGCATCACTACCCATCTTTCCTCACCGTGAGGCTGTCCACAGAGAGAGGTGAACTGTCTTTCCCACACAGAAGACTGAACTAGAACAAGCTGCGGTTTCATTTCAAGATGCTTTATTCTGCATTGAAACTTTCAAGGCAGACTGCTTTCAGATGCATTAGACCTCAACTTTAATCAAATGGCCCTCCCAGAATACTTCATTAGTTTGGATTGTTTAGAGGAAAATTAATTTGCACATAAAAGTGTCACAGGCCATTGGCTTTGCAACCTCAGTGCCAGCTCAATGACGTGCAGAATCTTGACACATAATCGCTTGATGAGGTTTGTTGTGTTCATTTGCCTTCAAACTTTTTTTTTCAGCTTCTTAATGACAATTTCATTCGGAGATAGTTCTGCTCTAATAACAGTGGATTTAGATCCTGCCATGCTCTGATAAAAATGTTTCATTGCCTGCAATGCCTGAAAAAACTTCCCTGAAATTACCATCCTGCGGTGTTTAAGAATCTGCCAGCTCCCACCCTGAGGGAGGTGAAGTGTCAGAGATGCATCATTTTGGCATTTATGAGGCTTATGGAAGCTTAAGGGGATAATTAAGATTACAACAACTAACAAATTTCATGCCGATTTCAGGATTAGTGCTGTCTGTCATTTTGATTTAGATTACAGTTCTAACTTCATTGTTAAAGACATTAAGGTGAGGACAGGAATATGAATATGTTGCTCAGATATGCACATGAACATCTCTCCATTTCTCCATGGTTGTATTTCATTCTCGATAGGTGCATTTGGTTAGTTTGCCTGCTCAGACAGTTTAAAGGGGTCATATGATGCTGCTCTGATTGGCCAGCTATCCAGTGCGTTGTGATTGGCCGAATACCTCAAGCATGTGACAGAAATGTTACGCACCTTACCATACTGTGATGCCGTGTCCCACTTCGTCCACGGTGAAAGCCGATCCGGCGATCCACAGCGCGACGTTGATGTATTTCCTCAGTGACCAGCAAGGAACAGCTCCTTGACGGCATGACAAAGCGGATATCATCCTCTTTTGGAAGGCCAAGCAAAGTAGTTTTGCTTTCACAACAAAACGACAACATCACCATGACAGTGCGGCGGTGGCAACAACAATACTACAGCGAGAATAAAAGTTACGCCTTCTTTCTTTGCGTGAACATTTGGCCGGCGTTATGCAAATCTTCCCACATCGTGACGTAGACATGTGGGGGCGTGTTAGAACGAGCCATTTTAGGTAGGCATGGTTGACTCTTAACTTTTATAAAGAATATCTCTTTGGATTTAAGACTTTAGTCTTTGCAACTTTACAGATCTTCTTTATGTACCAAGAGCTTGTAACACTTCAAAGAGAAAGGAAAAATTTAAATCGCATCAATACAGTAAAACGGTAATATTGTTAAATATTCTTACATTTAAAATGTTTTTATTTTAATATATTTTTTAATGTAATTTATTCATTTTTATTTTCATCAGCTATTACTCTATTCTTCAGTGTCATTTCAATCTTTGCAAATCACTCTAATATGCTCAAGAATCATTTCTTATTATCAATGTTGAAAACAGTTTTGCTGCTTAATACATTTCTCAGTATTTGTTGGTGGATTTATTTGAAATGGAAATCTTTTGTAACATTTTTGGACAATTATAAATGTCTTTATTTTTTTACTTTTACTTTATTGTGCATGTGAACAGAAATGCAGAATGACATTTTTTATAACAATCGCTCTACTAACAAGAAACGTGCCAGAAATGTGATCTTATAAATTGTACAAAATTTCAACAACATGGAAAACTGACATTTGTCATATTTTATACATAGTCAGCTCAATTTTTTTTTAACTTACCTTTTACTAATATAAGATTTATTTTTGTGCACCTGCCTTTAGGATTACCATGTTATTCTTCTACACGTAAATAAACAAGGACAGAGCTATATATATATATATATATATATATATATATATATATATATATATATATATATATATATGTGATATAATACTGGGTCTCACTGCATATGTATGCTTGTGTTTAAAACCAGAATGACTTTTCATATATACTGTATATAAATAATATATTCTGATATGACTTTCTACACCTCCATAACGGTGTGATAGTTTTGTATGTTTCTTATTAAAATGTTGTCTTACCTGCCTATGCAACAAAACAGTTCATATCTAAGACATTTCATACTTTCAGTTCCAGAGAATGAGAGGTAGGATCTGAGCAGGAGATCTGTATTTTTTTTGACACACTGAAGGAAAAAAAACAATACATCTTTTGCACATAGACAGCTGATGATGGCTTTTGAAGACATGGAAAAGAAGCATCAGCATTTGTAGTATGAAAGGAAAGTGTGTGTGTGTGTGTGTGTGTGTGTGTGTGGAAAAAAAACAATACATCTTTTGCACATAGACAGCTGATGATGGCTTTTGAAGACATGGAAAAGAAGCATCAGCATTTGTAGTATGAAAGGAAAGTGTGTGTGTGTGTGTGTGTGTGTGTGTGTGTGTGTGTGTGTTGAGGTTGTGTGCTGACGCTCTGCTGAAGGGAGAGTGGCATGTTGACTGATAAGAGATCACATTGAGAGACAGGACACTGGTGAACACACACTAATTGTCTTCTCTCTGAAGTGGATCTGTCACTGTGTCTGAAACATACACTACACGCAACCATGTGATTTATTTTGTCCTCAGACTAGCGACCAGTTAACATGCCTCCAGCAGGTGTGCTGACTCAGATCCAAACATACACACTATTCACAGACAATAGCATCAGATAAAGAAAAAACAGCTGAATGTCAGGTGGGGGATGGTCAGTTTAAACATGCTTTGTCGGTTTAAACCAAGTAGGTCTGAAATACCTGTAGTTTATTAATAGCTATAATCTGTTAGCATTCCCATTTATCTCAGTACCATTTTCTGGGTATAAGACCACTGTGAAACCTGCCGTCTTTGCTCATGATTGCTGGAGCCAGGTTGTTTTGAGCCTCAGCCATAAATTCCAAGTGACTAAAACAAAACAAATCAACAAATAAAGCAAAACAAAAATTCAAAATATACACTCAATCAACAAACGTAATCAAGTAAATATTATTATCTGACCAAAAAACATTTACTGTAAACCATGTTTTTTGAATCTATGTATCCAGTAGACTTCTTTACAGTCATTTAAGAAGTTAAGCCTATGTAGTGTGATGTTGCTTGAAAACCTGGTAATGGGACATTAGTCTCTTTAATCTTTGTTTAAACAGCCATGGATGCGCCCCAGAACCTGACAGCTAGTGAGATTAACCATCGAAGCGCCCTCATATCCTGGCAGCCGCCCATCGCAGACATCGATAACTACATGCTGACCTACAAAGCAGCGGATGGCAGTCGAAAGGCAAGCATAATATGGATTTTACCTTGAGCTGGAAGTGTTATAAATAAATATACATGCTTGCTGTGTAAACATTTTTAAACTTGATTGTTCATATTTCTATGCTCATTGCAATTCAGAATTAAACTGTACTTGATGTACAGCCTGAACTTATAATAACTTTACGATCTAACATAAACCACACGACTTCCCACAGAGATCAACCATCTAAGGGAACTGTTAAATCTTCCTATCGGAATAGCTCAGTTTAATTAAATTCTCTGATGTTGTTCATTAATATTAATGAAAACATTTAACAAAGTCATTCCAGACACAATATGCCTATTAAAGACTTCCCTGAAATAATTTCTCTGAAATGATACAGTAGATACAGTATCTATTTCAAATAATTACATTACTTGTAATGCATGATCACTGACCTATAATCTGTTTTGGACATGAGCCTGATGGGAAAATGCAATGATGATAATGTTGGAAATACAAAAGGGTATGGATTATAATTTTAAGATTTATGTTGTTATACACAGAGACACACAATCAATGCAACACAGACCGCTCTGACCTAGTAGCCCACTGTTAGTGTTTGTATCTGTCCAGTGGGTGTCAGTGGTGCACAGATGATATAAACCCAGCTGATGCATTTTAGACGTAAAAGCTTTCTCTTTCCATTCTCTTTCCAGCCAGGTTGGCATCTAATGTTGAGAGTTTTGATAATAACAGGCAATTTGGGAATTTTTCAAAGACTTAGAATGCGTAATAATAGAAATAATACAGTTTCTGCATCCACCATGTGTTGCCTCAACCTGTATTTCAGATTCAGGGTTGTGAAAGAATCAAGATGAGAACATAAAAATGGGTTCCACACTGCTACAGATAGCAGCTTCCTTTTTATTAAAATTACCTGCTCAATATCCTCTGCATGCAGAGCAACCTTGATGCGACTTCATTAAAACACTACTGTGCTATATAATTCACATTACACATTGCTTAAAATGTGACTTTTCCTGGAAAAGGATGACTATTGAATCAAACGTTTCATATTTCATACACCTCAAGGTCACATGTGCCATCGTCCATTCAGGTCCCTGGTGAATCCTCAGAATAAAAAGTCTGAAAAGGCACAAAAATGTATGGCAGATTAGTTCGATAAAAAGAGGGGAAGTGAAATGTCATGAGCCGAAAACCAAAATAGAAATGGCTTCTCTCCCCAGTAGCACCAGGGCCTGATAAGACTCTTCCTCCCCCATCATGCACTTTAGAGCTGCCAATCATAGTGTAGAAAAACAGAGGAAGGAAAGGCAGCATTGAATGAAAAGCACCCAACAGAAGCAGCTTGGGATCACAACAATTTGTCAGACAATTCCTAAAGGGATTGTGATCTGTTTTCTGTTTGTTTTTGAGGAATATCTTTCCTACCCACAATGCAAAGAGCGGCTGTTCTTTGTACTATCTCTTGGTATGTTTTCCACAAAACCGCTCTTTGGTCTACAGTGTTTGAACAGAGGTAATGTACTAATGCCTCTCCGTGCCTGCTGATCAGTAGACTGTGTTTGATTGTGTTTTAGGAGCTGATCTTAGATGCTGAAGACACGTGGATCCGTCTCGAGGGGCTGGCGGAGACCACCGAATATACTGTGAGACTGCAAGCTGCTAGAGGAATAGAGACCAGCGCCATTGTTTCTACATCGTTCACAACAGGTGCAAATCTTCCACATCTCCTGTAGACTTCAGATCGGGTTCACTCACCTCATTAGGTACAAATTCACACTATCGCCCCGTCAGCGTTATCAAGTACAAATCAGGAGCGACACCTTCAAGGCATCTGTGTGCATCCCTCTTTTATTGCCTTGTGTTTCTGTGATTTTACAAGCACCCAACTTCCAAAGATAGCGTTTTATAACATCAACAAATTCACACTCCATTGTCATGGAAGCGATGAAAATCACCACTCATTAACCTCCCAGTGCCCCTCGCTTTCTTTTGCTCTGTTGTTTTGGATATTTCTCAACCCTTTTCCTCTTCAGGAAATCGATTATTTCCCACGCCACAGAACTGTGCGCAACACCTCCTGAATGGAGAAACGCTGAGCGGAATTTACACCATCTACATCAACAGAGACCTCAGCCAAGGTGTGCAGGTTTACTGCGACATGACCACCGATGGAGGCGGCTGGATAGTGAGTGAGAGATCTGACTATCACATCTGAGTCTGTCTGTATTGTACTGTATGTCTGGCACAATACATGATTTACACAAAATCCCACAATGCCACATTATAGGACTGGCCCTTGTTGAAAAGACAAGCTTGGACCAGTGTTCATTTTCAGTGCTGGCATAACCAATGCTGTTCACAAGCTAGATGATCAGCATGCTTTTTCTGGTGATTCAGGTTAACCACCAAATCTTAAGGTAGGTGAGGACTTGGTGTCAACACCAGGGCAACTACATCCATCCAAAATCAACTTTTTGCTAGGTCTGTCAGGCAGGTGAATTGAGAAAATGTACGTCGTACCGGCCAAAAATAATTGTATTAATAAAATCAATTATTAGTTACATAAAAAAAAAATATTTTTGTAACTATGGTTGTTATTAATTATAATTATTATTTAGCTATTTTTTTTTTTTTTTTATTATAATTATTTGGTTAAATTCATTCATTTATTTATTTATTATCTATGCATTTATTTTATTATTTAGACATTTTTAGCATATACAATATAATATTTTTATTGTCACAAAAAAGATATGCCAATCTCTACCAATCACTGAAAGCACATGGAGATCTGGAGAAGAAAAAAACTTATGATAAATGTTTCCACTGAAGAAACATTTATTGAGTTTCTTTCAGTGGGTATAGAAAAGAATCAATCCCCTTTAAATTAATCACATTTTGTTGTTTTGCAGCCTGAGATGAAGACGGACACAGTTTTTGTTTTATCCAACTGTATTTACCCAATGCAACTTATAACATCCAAGTGAAAGATATAACACCAACATGTCAGAAATTTTTTTTTTAAATAAAACAGAATCACTGAGTTGTAAAAAGGATCACCCCCTTGTGTCAGTATTTTGTACCTTTTGCTTTAATTGCAGCCTTTAGTCTGTTGGGATTTGTCTCTGTCTCTACTAAGTTTGCACATCTAGACTTTGCAATATTTGCCAACTTTTCATTGCAGAACTGCTCAAGTTCAGTTCAATTTGATGGTGAGTGTTTGTGGACTGCAGTCTTCAAGTCATTCCACAGATTTTCAATGGGGTTTAAGTCTGGACTCTGACTAGGCCATGCAAGGACATCCACCTTTTTCTCTTTCAGCCACTGTATGGTCAGTTTTGCAGTGTGCTTTGGGTCATTGACATGTTAGAAGGTAAACCTTCTTCCCATTGACAACTTTCTGGCAGAGGGCAGCAGATTTTCCAAGAATTTGACAGTATTTTGCCCCATCCATTTTTCCTTCTATCCTGACTAGTGCTCCAGTCCCTGCTGCAGAGAAACACCCCATAACAAGATATTACCACCTCCATGCTTTACTGTAGGAGTGCTGTTATTTGGATGGTGAGTTGTATTGGATTATTGCCAGACATCGTTTGGTGTTGAGGCCAAATAATAAAATTTTAGTCTAATCTGCCTCAGAATCTTCAAGGTGTGTTTTGGCAAAGCTCTTTCACAACAGGTGCAAATCTTCCACATCTCCTGCAGACTTCAGATCGGGTTCACTCACCTCATTAGGTGCAAATTCACACTATCAGCCCATCAACATCATCAAGTACAAATCAGTAGCGACACCTTCAAGGCATCTGTGTGCATCCCTCATTTATTGCCTTGTGTTTCTGTGACTTTTCAAGGACCCTACTTCCAAAGATAGTGTTTCATATCATCAACAAATTTGCACTCCATTGTCATGGCAGCGATGCAAATCACAGCTCATTAACCTCCCAGTGGCCCCTTGCTTTCTTTTGCTCTGTTGTTTTGGATGTTTCTCAACCCTTTTTCTCCTCAGGAAACCGATTGTTTCCCACGCCACAGAACTGTGCGCAACACCTCCTGAATGGAGAAACGCTGAGCGGAATTTACACCATCTACATCAACAGAGACCTCAGCCAAGGTGTGCAGGTTTACTGCGACATGACCACCGATGGAGGCGGCTGGATAGTGAGTGAGAGATCTGACTATCACATCTGAGTCTGTCTGTATTGTACTGTATGTCTGGCACAATACATGATTTACACAAAATCCCACAATGCCACATTATAGGACTGGCCCTTGTTGAAAAGACAAGCTTGGACCAGTGTTCATTTTCAGTGCTGGCATAACCAATGCTGTTCACAAGCTAGATGATCAGCATGCTTTTTCTGGTGATTCAGGTTAACCACCAAATCTTAAGGTAGGTGAGGACTTGGTGTCAACACCAGGGCAACTACATCCATCCAAAATCAACTTTTTGCTAGGTCTGTCAGGCAGGTGAATTGAGAAAATGTACGTCGTACCGGCCAAAAATAATTGTATTAATAAAATCAATTATTAGTTATATAAAAAAATATATTTTTGTAACTATGGTTGTTATTAATTATAATTATTATTTAGCTATTTTTATTTTTTTTTATTATAATTATTTGGTTAAATTCATTCATTTATTTATTTATTATCTATGCATTTATTTTATTATTTAGACATTTTTAGCATATACAATATAATATTTTTATTGTCACAAAAAAGATATGCCAATCTCTACCAATCACTGAAAGCACATGGAGATCTGGAGAAGAAAAAAACTTATGATAAATGTTTCCACTGAAGAAACATTTATTGAGTTTCTTTCAGTGGGTATAGAAAAGAATCAATCCCCTTTAAATTAATCACATTTTGTTGCTTTGCAGCCTGAGATGAAGACGGACACAGTTTTTGTTTTATCCAACTGTATTTACCCAATGCAACTTATAACATCCAAGTGAAAGATATAACACCAACAGAAATTTTTTTTAATAAAAAATAATAAAACAGAATCACTGAGTTGTAAAAAGGATCACCCCCTTGTGTCAGTATTTTGTACCTTTTGCTTTAATTACAGCCTTTAGTCTGTTGGGATTTGTCTCTGTCTCTACTAAGTTTGCACATCTAGACTTTGCAATATTTGCCAACTTTTCATTGCAGAACTGCTCAAGTTCAGTTCAATTTGATGGTGAGTGTTTGTGGACTGCAGTCTTCAAGTCATTCCACAGATTTTCAATGGGGTTTAAGTCTGGACTCTGACTAGGCCATGCAAGGACATCCACCTTTTTCTCTTTCAGCCACTGTATGGTCAGTTTTGCAGTGTGCTTTGGGTCATTGACATGTTAGAAGGTAAACCTTCTTCCCATTGACAACTTTCTGGCAGAGGGCAGCAGATTTTCCAAGAATTTGACAGTATTTTGCCCCATCCATTTTTCCTTCTATCCTGACTAGTGCTCCAGTCCCTGCTGCAGAGAAACACCCCATAACAAGATATTACCACCTCCATGCTTTACTGTAGGAGTGCTGTTATTTGGATGGTGAGTTGTATTGGATTATTGCCAGACATCGTTTGGTGTTGAGGCCAAATAATAAAATTTTAGTCTAATCTGCCTCAGAATCTTCAAGGTGTGTTTTGGCAAAGCTCAGTCGTGACTGCATGTGGCCTTTCTTGAGGAGTGGCTTTTTTTTTGCACCCCTTCCATACAAGCCACATTTGTGGAGAATTTGTGATATTGTTGTCACATGCACATAATGACCACTCTTTGTCATAAATTCCCACAACTGCTTCAGAGTTGCTGTAGGCCTCTTGGTCGCCTCTCTAACCAGTTTCCTCCTCCCTCCTCGGAGCAACGTCCTGATCCAGGGAGGGTCTGTGTTGTACCAAATACCCGTCACTTCTTAATAATAGACTTTACTGTGCTTCTAGGCATTGATAAAGCCTTTGAAATGTTTTTGTATCCATCTCCTGACTTTATCCCAGAGATCTTTTGACTGTGTCTTGCCACCCATAGTTGATTGTTTGCTTCAGTTGCACTACCAAGGACTGAAATGCTCCAGGAAAGCTCTTTTCATGTTGAGCTAATCAAAATGACCACATCTAATCACAGTTGAAAGTCAAATGGCTTTGTGTGCCATTGAGAAGGTGATTAGCTACACCTGATTGCGTTTACAAGTCCTTTTAGGAGAGGGGTGATCCTTTTTCCAACTCAGTGATTCTGTTTGTTTTTTTATGACATGTTGGTGTTGTATCTTTCACTTGGATTTTATAAGTTGCACTGAATAAATACAGCTGGATAAAACAAAAACTGTGTCCGTCTTCATTTCAGGCTGCAAATCAAAAAAAATTGACTATTTTAAAGGGTGTGATTCTTTTCTACACTGAACGCTACTTACATCAGCAAAAGTCAGACTATTGATTTTATTATTCAACTTAAAACATGTAATACTGTCTTTCCTAATAAAGTTAGCAGCCAATAGGCAAAAATCTATAATTGCCTTTGGCACCTAAAAAGTGTAAATTTTGGACCCTGCCTGCATCCCACACCAGAGACCAGTATTTGAAACACAACGCATTCTGGTGATTGCCCATTCTGGTCTTTTCAACAAACTTTACTGGTCATGACCGTCAACACAGCTGCCTCTTTTGCAGATGTCATCATCCCAAAGTAAAATGACACTGTTGGGATAAATTGCCATGTGCTCCATATTGCCCTAAATGCATTATATTTAATTGGCGTAGAGTGTTGTGTGGCAGCTGTACCTCTGCTAATTGTGTTTCAGATGTTCCAGCGACGTCAGAACGGTTTGACTGATTTCTCCAGGAAGTGGAGTGACTACAAGATCGGCTTTGGCAACCTGGAGGATGAATTCTGGCTCGGTGAGAAGACGTGAAATACACTTGAATTATAGACAGAGCAGTTAGAGCTGTCTGGGGAAAAAAGCTGCTACGTGATGACCCATTAAAAAATATACTCGTTTAAGGCCCCATTAATCTCTTCAGGCTGATCTAAATTTGGTCAGCACATTCTCGCAAATGTCTGAGTTTTATTGAAGCTTCAGTCCTGGAAATGTTACTCAGTGATGAGTGATCTTGACTAGCAATGAGAAGGTTTCTTTATTTAAATATTAGATAGGCATTTTGGGAAGCCATTTATAACTTTATACTAGTACTCAACCCTTACTTGCTTCAGGGACACTGTATTACTCGCCTATTTACTTGAATTATACGGATCACACTTTCAAATGAGAGACAGTGTGGTGCTGCTCTGAATAAAGATGAAAATAACACAAAGTCTTCTAGCACTGTGTGAGGCTGCATCAAATCACCATCCTTTGAATATTTCCATGTGCCCTCCCGCATACGGTATCTTGTGTTTGTATGGTCTCTGTGCTTCCCGGACCCCTCAGTCTGTCATGGTGACTCTGAGCTTTCAGATTCTATTTAAATGGTCTGGTAATTATTTTCATCAAAATCCAGTTTGATGGAAAACAATAGAGTCCCTTTCCCTTTTTATCCCTGATGCATTAATCTTATTAGAAAGCTATAAATATATGCATTAAAAATCAGGGGAAAAAATAGCATTTGTGCTCGGATTTCAAAGCATTGCCTCAATTACAGATAAAAAGTAAACACTACAAATTATGCCTCTGCAGACATTTATGTATGGATAATATATGTAAATCAAGCGTAGTGTTAGTTCTGGCAGGTCACGTGAGTCAATAAGCTTGCATCAGCTGACTCTCAGCTGATTCACGTCTACGTATTAGAATACGATGCCTATCACGGCATTCCTATAAGGTCTATTCTGTATTATTAACCTCGAAGAAACAAAGTAACAAAGCAATCTCGGCGTCCGATTCCCTTACGCTCCTTGAGTTCTTTAGACTGTTGGAAGCTGCTCCAATATTTACGCGGTACTACCTCTTGCCTGATCGTAACCCTATTTTTAATGTTTTGTTCCTCCGAAATGTTCCTCTTTTTTTTATCAGCCATCTCTCTCTATCTATAGTCAATCTGCTAATATCCGTCCTGTGCACCACTCACTAAGCGTGCTCTTCTCCCTATTATTACTAGACACGCCCCTTACTGCTGATTGGCTGCGAGTTTGTTTTGGGAATCGGTCCGACACAGTGGTCAAGAGCGTTTTTCAAAAATCGCTTAGTGCACCTTTAACACACAGTATGTACATTTCACTACTAAAGGATGTTATTCAAATGATAAAACACCATCTGGGTAAGGGCAGCATGCTTGTTGCTTAAACTTCTGGTATTGACCATGTGCTTGTTGCTTAATCTTTTCAGGTACTGCATTAAAGGGGCATGCTGCTCTTCTCAGCCACTTAATAAAGAAGAGCACCCCCTTTTGCTGCTACTCTCCTCCTGTAAGTGGCATGCTGCCCCAGCCTCTGCGGTTTCAGAAGGACATGCTTCTTCTTTCAGATTTGCCATCAGTTTGTGGTTGGGGGGTTATTGCAGCTCTTGCTGCTCATTTATGACAAGCTACATGGATGATCGGGGAGTTTTTACCCAGAACTGAACCATACCACCAAATCCAAACTGTATGCAAAGTGTCAATCATTTTGACGATAGCAGTCCTGAGAGAAATGAAGCATAGCATTAGTTCTGGCAGGTTACGTGAGTCAAGCTTGCATCAGCTGATCCACGTCTACCTATAGGAATACGACAGCTATCACAGCATTCCTGTATAAGGTCTATTCAGTATTATTCAACAGCTTTATCGCTTGCTCAGGTGCAAATTACCCTCCTCCATCCCCAACTCCTCCTTTCTTCACAGTCAGGACTTGGCTTTCTAATATTCCTTGTTGAATCAGACACTAAAATGTCAGTAAGAACATTAATGATATCTGCATTCTGTTCTGTCCTGTTTGCCCAAGGGGTTATTGCTGCTCTCGCTACTCATTTGTGAATTGAGTGTCAAGTGTCAATCATTTTGACGATAGTGGTCCTGACAGAACTATATTTAGTGTGGAAGGAGCTCATTTGAAACATTTCAGCTCATGAACAGAAAGTAAATACTGTCTGCAGAAGTTCTGCATTGGTTCTTTTGAAGAGTGTCTTCTTCAAGTACCATATACATATGCAACTACAATAGTGAAATCACTTTATGACTGTTATGTTGGAGTAGAAGTTGTGGTAAATAATCACTAGTATGCCTTCTTACCGTAGGCAAGAGCTGTGTGGCCAGTACAAATTATGCTGTAGCTCTGTAATATCACAGTGTGATTTTTAAAAACCAGAGCTGAAAATAATCTATTCTGCATAAACTGCGACACAGAAGAGTGCTTATATTATATATTTAGTTTTACCACAGTGTATCTAACTGTAGGTTATTTATGGCCATTTATGGTATCACAACTTATTGTGTCTTTGGCTTTTCAACCTAGCTGTTATGTAATGTGAAGCTGTTTTTGTAATGGTGCCAGACTTATCATTCATTTTTGAAAAAATCTTAATTTTGTTTGTGCCCATCAAGTTCCATATAAAATTACAACTAGCTGTTTTATTTTTCTGTTATTTGTGGGTTGAATTTCCTGCTAAAATATGTATATTTTGATATACCCGACTATTCAAAAGTTTGGGGTCATTATTTTTTGTTTTATTGTATTTTATTTATTTTTTATTTATTTATTTATTGAAAGAAATTAATACTTTTATTCAGCAGGGATGAATGTAATTGATCAAAAGTGACAGTAAAGGCATTTATAATGTTACAAAAGATTTTTAATTAATTTCCTTTGAACTTTCTGTTAATCAAAGAAAAAAAAAAGTTTACACACAAATATTAAGCAGCACATCCATTTTCAACACTGACAATAATAAGAAATGTTTCTTGAACACCAAATCAGCATTTTAGAATGATTTCTGAAGGATCATGCACCTTTCTTTTTTAGCTACAAACTACAGACCTACATCCCCCGCAAACACTGTCTGTTCATCAATCACACAACCTGGCAGACACAAAAGTTGCTGCCCTGCTCCATTCAAGCATCCAAAGTAGAGAGCACGTCTGTGTTCCCATGGTGCTTCTCACTTCTGCATGGTCCTTGGGCTTTCCTTATAGCTCCTCATTTGGTCATGACACTCGGTTACTCCTGTGTTTAGGTGATGGGGCTGGAGTTCAACCATGCAAATAGGACAGTACTATAGAGATATGGTGTTATGGAAAAAGGCACAAAGTCATTCTGAAAAGTAAGACTCCACTATTCTGTTCCAGGAGATTTCAATGCAGCCTTCCTGAACTGATTTAAAAAAAAAAAAAAAAAAAGCTATTTTCTTTGCAATGCATTTGAAAATTAGAGTGTTTTTCCTCGGAGGACACATAACTAATTTTATGTATATTTTCAGTTTCTGCTTGGAAACTAGTAAGAAGCATACAGCCTGTTCTTCAGTAACCAGTGTGATAAAATAGTTTAAAATGGTTAATTTTACTCCCCATTGTACTGCAAAAAATCTTTCTTGTGGGCTGTGCTTCAAAGATCGCTACACTATTGATGATAGATAACTGACCTTTTTTTGCCCCCGAAATTTTGCTAATGTGACCTTAACACCTTAATACACTGGTTGTTTCCACCACCTATACAGTATATGGAATTGCAAGAAGGCACAAACTGCCTACACATGAAAAGTCTCATAGGAACTTATTACCTTGATTACAATCTTAATTCAGCGATTTGAGCTTACATCTACAGGGCCTTCTGCTTTGTGACTCATTGTTTGTGGTTTTGTTTGCAAGGGCAGGTGTTGAAAAGACAGGAAACATGCAAAAGCATTTAGAAGTTAACGGAGTACACATAAAGCTTGATATGTGAGAGTCTCAGGCCAATGGTGAAAATAGTCTACATCTGTCCTTGTTCAATTGCATTGTGTCATGTCCTGTTGTCTCAACTGTCTGCTTTCATTTCAGCTCTCTCAAACGCATTAGGTTGGTGTAGCTTATTATAACCGATAAGGTCATATTTCCCATCGGTATCTGTGGTATTTTTTTTTCATAAAAGCTGAGGTTAACACTCTGAAAAATAATAAAGATTCATAGAAGAAAAATATTCTTTTGAGAGGTGTTCTTTGTGAAGCATTTCAGTGGCAATAAAATTTAATTGCTCAGAAATGTTGTACATAAATTGTACACAAGTGTTTTTGTGTATTTCGATAGATACTGCAATGTACATTATCAACATACTGGCAGCATCTAAAAACATTTTACTTATGTATAGCTTATATACAAATTGTATAGATCTTTAAGACTTTTCTGGCAAAACTGAAATTGACAAAATGGTTTCGTTGTACCATTCCATCACAAGACTTTAATTTAATTTATAAAAAATTCCATAAAATTAACCTATGGATTCATTAAGGTTGCACAATACTGAATGTCAGTTACTTGATGTTAGAGATGACATGTTTTACAGGTATTGGTCAATATTTAAATGTTCATGTTTGTTCATGCTTGCTTTCATCTTACTCTCACTTAAAACTAATCTTTAGAAACACTGTTCATTTAATAAGCGTTTAAAACAAGTGATTAGTGTTGTATTTTTATGAGTTATCGCAATTAAATGGAATGAATTGTTGGCTTATCAGTATTGGCTAGGATTTTAATATCTGTCTGTCCCTCACATTCAATATTCTTTGACTCACATTGGATGCTTAAACATTTGTATGCTTCTTGTATGAACATAAAAGTTCATTTAAGATGCTAATACAATTTCATATTGGTGTCTATCTATGCATATGACAATGTATCTGTGCTAGAACCACTCTTCATGTATGAATACCTGAATATTTGATTAATAATCAAGTATGAATGCTAATGAGATCATAGTTAAAATGACTGTTTGTGTATTGACATTTTGTGTTTGA